CAAACGGATTCACGGGACCCTCGCGCCCGAGTTTCTGCCCGCCGCCTTCATTCTCGTCGTCATCGTCATCATGATACCCGCCCTCCTCATCAGCCTCACGCGTCCACAGCGAAATATCGTCATCGTCCATGAGCGCCGCCACATCCTCTGGGTCCACGAGGCCGGCCTCAATATCCGAATAATCGGGTGCGTCCTGGCCGGGCACCAGACCGCCCTCCGTCTCGGCCTGTTCCAGGGCCAGCTCGGCAGCGCGGGCCATGGTGCGTTGGTAAATGAGCCAGCCGACGACTAGGCCGACGAGGCCACCGAGGATCATGGAGATGTAGTTGATGGCTTTGCCGCCGGCCGTCATCTCGTCTCCCTTTTCGGCAATGAGGGCGAGGCGGCTGCCGATGAAGACGTGGACGAGAAGCTTTGGACTATTCGGGATCCTCTGTTAGTTGTGCTAGAACTTGGGGAAGTGAGGCGAGGACACAATTAGGTGTCCCTACTGTGCTCACCTGGCAAGGGCCGTTGAGACGGCGAACATCCAAGGCTTGATGGAAGGGATCGTGGACAGGAACCCGTTGGACAAGCTATACGGCAGCGGACAGAAGCGCACCGCCGTCAACATGCCGATCCCGTCCTTCCTCAGCACCTGGCCTAGCGCGATGAACCGGTGATCCTGCCCGACGAGCTTGTGCACGTAACCGCTGAAGATGCCCCTGCTCGTGTAGAAAGCCGTCAAGCTTCCCGCGACCGTGGCCGTCGCGACGATGGGGTATCCCAGTGGAAACCCGTAGACGAAGCCTGAGACCGAGATAGCGGTGCTGTAGCCAATCATGGGCGGGAAGGCCGTCATGAAGGTGAAGGCCCAAATGATGAGCCAGCCGAACGGCAGCGCGCGCCATTTCTGGGACACGGGCGCCAGCCACTTGAAGATTGCGTGCGAGTAGATGAGGAACAGAAGACCCAGGACGTTGACGACGAGGAGGAACGCGGCGACGGCCACGCGCTGGACAGGGCTGAGGCCGAGGTACATGCTCCAGAGGCGGTTGCCGGCCTTGACGGCGGAGCGCACCGCGCGGTTCACGCCCGATAGCGCCGTGGTGCGCCTGGAGCCGGATTGGCCCCCGCGGCCGAAGCGTGCCGCGGACATGCGGCGGGTGGTTGTCGTTCTCGAGGAGGACGAGTTACCGCCGATGTTGCGGATCCATGGCGGGCGAACGTCGGCGTGGGCTTCGGAGGGAGAGGACGGGGGATTCGGCGAGAGGGAAAGCGCCCTCGCTGCTGATTCGTAGTCGGCCGGCATCGTGGGTAGTCGATCGGGGATCGGAGGAGGCAAAGACAACTGGAAGCGTGGTGGCTTTTTGGGGCCCGGAGGCTCCGGATACAGGAAGCTATTCGCGGGGCTTCGACCAGTGGATTGCACGCTCGTTTACCGTAATTTCGTTTCTTTCGCAGTTAGAATTATAACTGGTTCACTCAAAAGTTTCCGAGGCCATTTCGACAAAATGGGATAATCTTTGAGGGAAGTACAGAAATGGAACACAGAGAATAGTGATGAGGGAGGAGAATGCGTCGCAATGTTGAAGGAACTGACCTCACTCACCCACCGCGATGAGGTAAGCTGCCTAACCAGAGTGCCCCAAGCCACACCTAGAGACATGCGTTACGCAAGGTCCGCGGTTAACTTCCATGGATCGCCGGGCCCGTCAATGCGGGCGGGCTGCTACCTTGCCAAAAATAACCGGGGTTCTCCAGGGTCGTTGGAAATGCCCTAGTACGACGTACCTTATTTTAGTTGCCCCAGAATGTACGGTTACACGTATAGAAGGGCCGTGGTAGGAAACCAAAATACGTGAACTTGCGCAGAAAAGAAACTCAGAGTTGGAACACCAAGGCTTGCTACCGTTCCTGATGACGACGTTTACAGAGCATTACCTAAAGAGCCCGTTTCATGGGAAAACGCAATGAGAATGTCTCATGTTTCCTGCGGACGGTTTCAATTGCATGGCATACAGGGGGTTCGATGCATAAGGCACTCGCACGTCCCAAAATGGCAGCCGCTGTGCATCCCGTCCACGTCGGTCTGCCTGCCGACTGACCGGCCCAGTGTCCGGCGCTCTCCAACCTCGGTGGGGGCTCCACTCGAGCTGGAAAGCTCAAAGTGCTTCTTCCCTGCATGAACTCAACCTACCGTAAGGTACGGATACCCGCCCGATCTTACCTAGACGCGGCTCTACTTCCACCGTCGTCATCAGCAATAATGCATCACTTTACGCGCTAGGGCCTTGAGATAATTCTGATAGAGGAGTTCGCTTCCTGGAGCGTCTTGTTGACATTTTCTACTTGCGGTTCTTTCTACTTTATTGTCTTTTCATCACTTCTAGGTAGCCGGTTGTTATCGCCGTCCACTAGGCCCCTTCGGAGGATCCCTAACAAGCATCCTGACTTTGCCGTCCCCAATCTCCACACCCTGACTCAAGATATCAACCTCCTCTTTACTGTCGTCTGCACTCGGCGTTCCTTCACGCGCCAACGACTTGTCGTAGCTTCGAGCATCAATGCCCAAGATGCCACCCATATTGTTGCGATCTCCAGGGACGGAGAATTCGCGGTAGGCGTACCTCCACTCGTTCAAGAAGTTACGAATCGCCTTGCCGACCTTGTCCTTGCCGTTCTTACTGTGATGACCAGTACCGGTAATGGCGTAAATCGGTCGAGTCTCCTTGCCGTTCTCCATTAGAACCCGCTCAAGGTATTCCACGGCTTCCTCAGGGTGAAGTCCATGCAGGTCTACATATATCTCGGAACTGTTCGCAATGCCTCTGTTGCGTTCCTCATAGAGCTCGCGCGCTGCTTCTCGATGTGCCTTCCGCATCAAGTCATTCTCGCTCTGGCCTCGCAGACTCAGAGCTTTGGCAGCCCTAGCATCGTTCCGGTTCCATGCTTGAGCAGCGCTAGTTTAGTGGTTAGTCTGGCGAAGTATCTTTCAGAAATTGCTGCTCTTACCTCTGGAGGAACTTATTCCTGAGACCGCCGTGCTTAATAGCTTCTTGTCGAGCTTTGAGGTAGGCCTTGTTGGCTCTTTCGCCGGTTTCTAACCACGGAATGTGTTTCGGATTCTGGATCGCCTGTGCTGCCGCGCTGTTTTCCCCGTTCCGGATATTGGTTGAGCTCCCATTTCGTCCAATCTTTTTAATATCTTGGCGGAGCAAAGCCGGCCCTGGAGACGGCGACATCTTGACGATTTCAGCAAGGGAGTTTGGTGCGTAATTTTCCTTATGATTGTGGCCGTGTCCACCCCTTTTCCCGTGGTGTTTCTTGCCTTGCTTCGCTGCAGCAGAGCCTAGAGTAGGGAATGCGTCTGCATCGTCCAGCGACGGAGCCACAAGTTCCCTCGCTTGCTGGTGTCGGCTTCCTGGGCGAGATCTAGACCGAGGGCTGTCGCTCGCGTAGAACGGCTTCAGGCCGGGTGGGGGCGTAAGCCCGATTGTAACACCTGGGCTTCCGCTATAACTGCCAATGTGATCAGGCGTGCCGGGTGGAAGTGCTGGGAACAAGTTCAGATCGGACAAGTTGGCCTGCCTTGTTGGCGGAGTACTGGCCCCGTCCAGCGCCAGCTTGTTCATTAGATGTGCTGGGTCATGGGAGAATATGCAAGTTTCGCCAGCTAGACAATTGCCCATTACCCAGTATCTTGGTAGTCATGTTAGCTGAAGTTGTACTTAAAGCTGGAGTAGGATATACTTACTTGCACAAATGATTGCTCAAGTCATGACTGAATCTGCAATCTGCCCTTAAACATTGTCCCGTGGACATGTAGAATTTGCAGATAACGCCCGACCTTTGTCCAGCTGGGGTACTGGGCCGTCCTTCTGCAGCAAGCGCCTTTCCTATCAGAGACACCTTATTGTCGTCAGGCTGCGAGCTGCTATATCCGTTCTCTTGCGCCTGACTTTCCATGATTGATGCAATCGTTGCGCTTAGGTCGTAGCCATGGAGGGCAAGAGCTGCTTCAATCTCCTCATCAGTTCGCGTCCGGCCGAGAATTGAACGCAGCATGTCATATGGAGACATGTCAGCTTGCTGTGACGACATGGAGGAAAACTCGGGCGCAGCAGCATTCAGGCCACTTGAGGTTCCGACAGATGATGTAACGCTGATAGCATCATCGGCGACAAGCCACTCCACGTTTTCCGTCTGATAGTCGCCAAAAGTTTCATGAGAAGGTGATTTGTCGTTGGCGAACTCGTATGCGTTCAAGTTCGGGCTATTGGGTATGGCGGGTGTCGCAAATGCAAGTCTCGGAGAGGGCCTCGGAGAGGAGAAGGGAGAGGCCGCAGACGATTTCGTTCTCGTGAAAGATGGAGTAAAGGAAGGAACAAAGCCTGGAGGGGCCAAAGGACTGACCCCAAGTCTGGGCGAGCCAGACAGAGGAGTGGCATTGCCGCGCCATGATGCAGGTGATGGTCGCCGCAAGATAGTCTGGCGGATAGGAGGAGGGGAGGCCGCCAGTCCACCTCCATCACGGTATCGCCATAGGACATCCAGGATCGCATTATCTAGTGAGGAGCCATTCAGAGTCGTCTGGTTTCGCAGGAGATCTTCTAGCTTGTCCGTCTTGTCTTCATCCTCGAGGGTGACATCCTGGAGAATCGGTAGGCAGATCTCGTAATGCTCGTCGGAAACCATGTTTGCGCGGTTGGAGGCCAAGACGCGGGCCTAGGTATAGCAGATAGAGGCAGCAAAGGTGCGTCAAAAGTAATGTATTGCGTGCGTATGTAACGGTTAGAGCCGAGACCGTAACGGCGCGTCTATAGATGGTATTCGGTCTTGGGTTGAAGCGGAGCAACTACTACGTAAGGCTGACGGCGGGAATGCAAAAGCAGCGGTTGCAGCGGCGTCAGGCAGGGTTTAGGTAGGAGTCGACGTCGGATGTCAGCCTTCGCGGATGGCCGTGGGGGGTTGTGTTTGAGGGTAGACGAGTTCTGTCCGCCAGCGCAAAGTCAGAACTACTAGAAGCAGGACGCGCTGAAGTCTCGTGTGTACTTGAAAGAGTAATCGAAGAAAAGCGAGCGAGTTGGCGATGGGAGCGAAGTTGGTGGGCGGGATTCGATGGTTCCGTCACATGGTTTCGGAGCCAGGGGCAGAGGGGGGATCGTCTCGAGCTTGCTGTTGAATGAAGCGGTCGGTATTACGGGCATAAAGTACGCGAAAGAAAAGAGGCTTCCCCTTTTAGGTGGGCTTGGGTTGCTCGCAAACTGAGCCTTTGTTGCCAGCCGTTGAAAGGCTAATGTAGAAGCGAGACACGACGGGAGGAAAATGGGAGATTTGGAGATGGTGGTTTGGATGGCGGAAATGCAGCCAGGTGCACGTCGTCGTTCCCCTTCAGCTGAGGACGGGGCCACTTGAGGGCGGCAGAGGTAAGGTGAGTTGCGGTCGGGTACTGGTGCGTGCGTGCTTCCTGCGCTGCTGCTGCACCGCTCCTGTGGATGCAAGGAAACAGGTTGAGGCAAGGTGAGAGAGAGTCTAGAAAGGTAGGTAGGAAGGGATGATGCACACCACCCACCAGCTGGCCAACAGCTCTTTGGGGGTCGGGGAACTGGGACCCGGTGTCAGTGGACTCACGCTTAGCGGGCACGTACCGGAAAGGAGCCAATCTCGAGGCACGCTAGGATAGGTAACCGGGACGTACCCCCAAGAAGCACACCTCCCAATTGCCCACCCAGTGATCCACTGATGGGAGTCCTCAGGGACGACCACAACGGGGTGGGGAAAATGATGTACGTACCTTGCTTGGTACCTCGCCTTACCTCAAGTTCGGTAGACACCCTCCTATCCTGGGCAGTGACATTTTCATCTAAACTGTTCGAATTCAAGAATGCCCAGGGTTCTGACTTCAGCGACAGCTTGAAGCGGGTTATGGCGTGAGACCCGACATCTGAAGTATGAAGCTATCTATACCTGCACCCTGGAAAGAAATCCAACATCTTGGTATGCTATATGTTGTGGGTTCTTCTTGCTTTTGAGGAATTACTCGAATACGTTTTAGACTGGAAAGGGAATATGGTAATGCTGTCTTTCCAATGTTAGATGCTAAGCGGCGAGGTACTCGGTAGCGGAACAAGATTGAAAGACAGATTCTCGTTTCTTCGGTGCTTTCATTGAAGCCGATCCTCTGTTCAGCTCTGCCCTTGCCGACCACAATACGCCCTTTGTACTATTCTGACTCAAGTCGCTCCGTCTTAGTGAGTGAGCTGACTTTGATGACACCCGAGCAAGGTTCAACCAAGGAGCCATTTTTGTACTCTGTTTCCAAATCCCATTCGGCTGAGGGCTACCTACGAGGTGTGTCGGACAAAGCTGCGGCCAGGATATGGAGATACAAGGGTGGCTCTGCTTCGTCCACGATAAATCAGCCATGTCTTTGAAAACAATGAGTGATGTACTCGAAAGACAAACACGACGAAGGGTCTCTGCCTCCCAGTATCGGACAAATCCTTGCTCTAGTACGCCGTATTGCCATGTACAATAGGCAGCTTAAGGGATTTCTTCACCATCCAGGTCATCCCCGAATCCGAAGCTGAAGCCACCTCCGTTGGCCTCTGCCTGGCTTCCGCCTACTGCTTCCTCCCACTTCCTCTTTTTCTGGATGCTCTTCTTCTCCAGAATCCGAAGGGCCTGTTCTAATAAATCTGGCTGTTCCTGGCGGAGTCGCTCAATGAACAATACGTATGGATCAGCTACCTCTTGCTTGAAGCCAGACACCTGGTCTGGCTTGTCCCTTAAGAATGATATGACTTCGGAGAGCTGGTTCTTCGGCACGAAGTTCTGGGTCAAGGCGATTCCGCTTTCCAAATTGACCACTAAATGCCACCATCCACTAGGCACGTGTAGGATTTCCCCCTCTTGGCAGATACCCTCGACGCAGTCGGGTGACCGACGTGCTTCAGCATGAAACTCGAGAAGCCATTCTGCGATGCTCAAGGGGCTGGTAACCTCGCTGCTGTCCTCCGAGACAATCACTCCGGGGACCATAGCCGCGGGTGGAAACATGATCCAATATTTCGCACCTTGGATCACCGCGTTCCATGCACTTGTCCCGTTGGGGTCCTTATGAAAAGTTGATCCGCTCCGTTCAGGCCCGATGATGAGCCAGCGATGGGCAGGCCGTTCCTTTCCCAGAAGCTCGAATAAATCCGGACCAAAGCACTCCGGCTTCCAATAAGCTGCCCCCTCCTCTTGGCCAATCGTAATCTTCATCTTTTCGGCAAATTTCTTGTCGAATAGATAAAGAGGGCTCTCGTCATCGTTGTTGTTCATGTACTCGTTATATGTCGAAAAGGGCCAGTCAACAGCCTCTGCGCGGAACTCTACATCGTGGTAGCGTTTCGATATGGTATCAATAGTCCATCCGTGGCAAACGGGCCACTTCTGGATGTAGTTGGTGAGAACGAAAGGGGTATCGGTCCAGTTTTCAGAAAACTCCTCATAGGTCAGGGTTTCCATGCGCTGAATCGTGTTGCGAGCTGGTATCCTTGAGGTGAACTGCTTCAAATCTACATGGCTGCAGACAAAGGGTCTGTGTAGAACGTCGGAGAAGACATCACTGCAATCAATGACTGCTTGTTGCTCAGACGAGAGTTTCAGCTGGGTAGCCCTCCAGGATCCTTGCCATTTGCCCTCAAATCTTCCTGAGCTGTGAGATCTAAGATTGCGTTAGTAAAGTCAATGAATTACTAGTCAAGATACGTGATCACGGTAACGTTCTCTGATCCTTCTAGGATAAGAGTCACCAGGAATGCCCAGTCGAGTACAGCTCTTATTTTGATTGAGTAAAACCACCGGGGTGCGGATGACTCTGTAAGTCGCAGCGCTTGCCACTAGACACCAATAACACCCGATCTCATGATTTCCCTCTACTCAACAAAGTGGCTGACTTACTGAAGGAATAGCGTCTTCCACAAATCATCCGATCGGCAGAATGCGTAGAGGAACCTGGAAGTGTAGCCTAGCTTTCGAAGACGATTCTCATCGAGATACTCCAAAAGGAGCATAAGAGCCTCATCGGGCAAAATTTTCAGATATCCGATGTGTTTCCGAGCGTTCGGACGGTCCGAGAGATACTGGTTGCCCAGCGGTTTCACTCCCAAAGGATGAGTTGGAATTGACTCAGTCGACGTGACTGCATTTTCAAGGGCCTTTGAGTCATAGTCGTCGAGGCTGGTGTTGTCAGCATGGCTGTTGGTCCGGCTATTGGATACAGTGCCATGGTGTGGCACAGATGAGGTATCGTTCGCCATGTAAGGTGGTAGGTAGGCGAGTGACTAGGATCCTTGGGTCATTGGAAGGACATTGACATGTGTATATGCTGCTTTTGGCTAAAGGGAGGGAAAAAAACAGTGGCGGGGATAACGTTGGAGAAACCAGACATGCAAAAAGGTTGAAGAATCTACCTGACAGTCTAAAGTCAAAGAAGAAGGGTGTGAAAATGAGACGAGAAAATAGCTGTACAAGGAATCATGTCACTGGGCGTAGCGGCATCGCAGGTGCAGGTGGTACGAGCCGGGTGTGGGTGGCAGCAGTGCGTGGCGGACACATGCTTCGATAAACATGTTCTGTGACTCAATTAATGCATGAAGATTGTCTAGAAGAAAATCTGGTAGGCATTCCGCCACGATGCACCCTCGAGGGGGACGGGATGGGCGACAGAGCAAAGAAAACCTAGCAGGCAAGTGCGGCTGCTGTGCCTTGTATCGTTCCTGCTATCTCCGGCCTTGCCAGCGCTGTGTCCCGCTGTCAGCAGTCTCTCATAGCTGCACTGCTAGTGGTCGCTCATTCACTAAGGAAGGCACGGCGGGTGTGCCCTAATCACCCATCCTGCCTGTTCCGTTTAGCGCCACCTCGCTTACCGCATAAATCGAGGGGCCGCCCGCCGCCAGGAAATTTTTTACGTGGTCAAGAATTCCTGCAGCTGCTGATAAAAACTTCGTCTCCCACCCCGAACAATCAACGTGCACCATCACCCCACGAACAACCAAACCAAACGCACCCTTTTTTCCTAGATTCAGTTCTACTCTTGCGTTTCGCCAAGAGTATCGGATCTAGTTGAGACTTTAATTCTTAGACTTCGATTCGTCGACATATTTCGCAAAACTCTCCAACGAGACGTTTGCGATTTTCCAACCCCTCGCCAAACCCCACCTTCACGACGATATTTCTAGATCCCAAGCTGTGCTTGTGATCTAGATTTTTTCCACAACACAACCGCAATCATGGCTGACAAGGGTCTTGAGGATGTGCCTGAGGGTAAGTCTTGCGACAACATATGAGAGAACGTGGGCGCGGCTGTGGAAGGCTTCGTATTTCGATACTGAGGACGTCTACGAGTCGCCGACCGACCGCCTCCCCCTCCCTCTACCCAGCGCCTAGCGCATTATTTTTTCAAGTTGACAAGTCGCTAACAAATATCTCCTGCCAGGCCAGATCGAGTCGAACTACGATGAGACCGTCGACTCCTTCGATGACATGAACCTGAAGTCGGAGCTCCTTCGTGGTATGTCTTCCCGCGCTCAAAATTTTCGGGCGGAAATGCCCTCACTGTGGACTATGTTGCTGACTTTGCCTCACCAGGTGTCTACGCCTACGGTTTCGAGCGTCCCTCCGCCATCCAGCAGCGTGCCATCATGCCCGTCATCAAGGGTATGTTAAATACCTAATTGTTTTGCGAACTCCATTGCTCACGCTTTGCCCAGGCCACGATGTCATTGCTCAGGCTCAGTCCGGTACTGGCAAGACCGCCACCTTCTCCATCTCTGTCCTCCAGAAGATCGACACCAACGTCAAGGCTTGCCAGGCCCTCATCCTTGCTCCCACCCGTGAGCTTGCCCAGCAGATCCAGAAGGTCGTTGTCGCCATCGGCGACTTCATGAACATTGAGTGCCACGCCTGCATCGGTGGTACCAGCGTCCGTGACGACATGAAGGCTCTCCAGGACGGCCCCCAGGTCGTTGTCGGTACCCCTGGCCGCGTCCACGACATGATCCAGCGCCGCTTCCTCAAGACCGACTCCATGAAGATGTTCGTTCTTGACGAGGCCGACGAGATGCTTTCTGTAAGCTATAAAAAAGACTGCAATTTTTCTTGATTACGTGCTAATATAATCTCTCAGCGCGGTTTCACCGAGCAGATCTACGACATCTTCCAGCTTCTTCCCCAGAGCACCCAGGTCGTCCTTCTGTCCGCCACCATGCCCCAGGACGTCCTTGAGGTCACCACCAAGTTCATGCGCGACCCCGTCCGCATTCTCGTCAAGAAGGACGAGCTTACCCTTGAGGGTATCAAGCAGTTCTACATTGCCGTTGAGAAGGAGGAGTGGAAGCTCGACACCCTCTCCGACTTGTACGAGACCGTCACCATCACCCAGGCCGTCATCTTCTGCAACACCCGCAGAAAGGTCGACTGGCTCACCGACAAGCTCACTGCCCGTGACTTCACTGTCTCCGCCATGCACGGTGACATGGACCAGGCTCAGCGTGACCTGATTATGAAGGAGTTCCGTTCCGGATCTTCCCGTGTCCTGATTGCCACTGACCTTCTGGCCCGTGGTATCGATGTCCAGCAGGTTTCCCTGGTCATCAACTACGACCTTCCCGCCAACCGCGAGAACTACATCCACCGCATCGGTCGTGGTGGTCGTTTCGGACGTA